GGTGGGCTCGAGGTCTGCGGAAGGTGGGCTCAAGCCCGTGATCTCGTGTTTCAAGGCAAAACGTGGCGTTTCGGGAGGGCCCATCGTAATGCAGTTATTACAGCGATGGCAGAGGGACTCCTCAAGGGCTCCTCTCCCTCAGGCGTGGGAGGACACGTGTCCCTGCAGGCTCATCACCCGTGGCACGTGCACAGAGCGTTCACACTTCCTGCAAGAACACCTTGGTCAGTTCTTCCCTGTGTGTGTGTGTTGACAAGGCATGTGTGGCATTTGCAGGATTTATTAGTTTCCAGAATTACTGCCCAGGGCTCCCCATTCACAAGGAGAGAGTATTAAAGTCCACTGACAACATCAGAGTGCAAGATCTGAGCGCGGGGCACGAGTAGGTTTGCTGTTAGGTTTGCTGTTGAATTTTCGTACCTGTGGGGGCTGGAGGGCTGAGGGTTGGCTGCTTTTTCTCACCCCTACCCTTTCTGTTCCAGCTGTTCTCAACCAGCAGATCCTTCACTGGCTTAAACAGTTTGAATGACCCTGTTTCTGCTGTCCCCAGCACCCCGCTCCTCATTAGTTACCAGGTGAGAACGATGGTTGGGGTGAGCAGGACCAGACACCAGCAGCACCGCGGCGTGGGGGGAGCAGTCCTGCGTCTTTCCCCCTTCCAGAGGGAGCAAGATGAGAAAGCCAGACAGATATGAGCCACTGCCCTCTCCCACCAGTGTCTTATATTTCCCTTGGTGGGACCTCACCACGTTGAAGAATGGTTTGGGCTTTCAGGACTCGTGCCACGCTGAGTGTACAGCTGCTGGGGGTCTCTCGCTCGGGGCAGCTCAGAGCCCAGCTGGGCAGAACTCACGCTCGCCCACAGCCCGTCCAAGGAGTGATGTAAACGTCTTCCCCTAATTCAGTGTGGACTGGGCGTTGAAAATAGCTCTGAAGGCACTTGCTGGGCCCCTGGGGTGGGCTCTCACAGCTGTTTTTCCTCGTGTTGCTGTAGTCTATAAATGAAATTAATTGTTTTTGAAGGGTTTGTGGATTTGCACAGGCACGGTTTAAGTAGTAGCTTCTGGCACTGAGCGTGTCCATAGCTGGGCGAGGACGTAACGTTTGGTCAGTGCTGCGTTTCTTTTCAGTCTCAGGCTCCCGCAGAGGAGGAGGATGAAGGTGAGGAGGAAGAAACAGAAGAGTTGGGACAAACGGAGACCTATGCAGAATATGTACCTTCCAAGTGTGAGTGTCCTGCCGTCGCAGGGGTGTGGGAGGTCGTTAGCTCGGCTGTGGATGTTATTTTCCCGCAGGCCGCATGCGGTGTTTGCTGCGGCGCATCCCAGGCTTGGGATTTTCCTGGAAGAGCTTTACCAGCGCACTGATCCTGTGTTGGTGCTGTGCTCGTTTAACAGAATGCTTTTCCGCCGCCTGCTTTTGGGGGAAGCGTGATTTGGTTTTGGCAATCTAAAATTTCAGTGGAACAAGCAGTGAGGAGCAGAAGGCCTGGGCTTGTCTCCTCTGTGTCTGGGCAGAGCTCTGCAGTCCCGGGTGAGGTGCCCCGTGAGAGCGAGGAGCTCGAGTTCTCTGTTTTCTCTGTTGTCATTTAGCCAAGATTGGGAAGCACCACCCCGACCTCGTGGTTGAGACAAGCACCCTCTCCAGCGTCCCGCCCCCCGACATCACGTACAGCCTGTCCCTGCCGCGCTCCGTTGCCGACAAAGGGTCTCTCTCTGCACTACAGCTGGAGGCCATCGTCTACGCCTGCCAGGTACGGGCTCGCGCCTTCGCGTGCCTTCCCCTGGAAGGAAACTGCCTTTGTGTGGATGGAGTTCTAGAATAACCCCTAATACAGGCGATGGAGCTCTGGAGTCTTTGGCGCTTGGCGTTTCAAATGCCTCTTGAAAGGAGTGTTTGGCGATGGGGAGTTCAGCCGGACCCGTTTCCCAAAGAGGCGAGAATCCCTGACTTGTGCAGAGGGGAGTGCGTTACGTTTTGGGGGCCTTTGCCATAAGCTGCCACGTGTGGGCTTGGCCCTGACGCTCGACTGTCCCTGTGGTTGTTTATCTGAGCAGGAAATGCTCCTGCACCGCTGGGGTGTGTGGAAGGGTTAAGTGGTGCTCTTACAAGCTCACATCAGAGCTGCTAGCAAAGGCGAGCCTAGTTTAATTCCAGTTCTCTTCTTGATTTTGCAGCAACACGAAGTTTTATTACCCAATGGGCAGCGAGCTGGGTTCCTCATCGGGGACGGTGCTGGAGTTGGGAAGGGCAGGACAGTCGCGGGCATCATCTTTGAAAACTATCTTAAAGGGAGGAAAAAAGCTCTGTGGTAAGTTGTTGGGTGGTTGTGGTTTTTTTCTCGTTTCCCTTTTCCCGTAAGACCTTGGAGTTGGCTTGGATCTGGGAGTAAGGAATTCCTTAGTGCTGATGTTGGCTTTAGAGTTGACTCACGCTGTGGCCTTGGGTAAGTCGTTTCCACCTCTTTGTGCCTGTTTGCTCTCTGCGGAGTGGGAATATTTCCCCTGCAGGGATGGGGAGTGAGTCACACATTATGCGCTACTCGGAGTGCAGCCTCGAGCCTGTCCCCTTGCTCTCTTTGAAGCTGGTGGAGGGGTATCCGTGCCCTTCCTGAGGGCAGGCTCAAGCCCCTGGAGTTGGGGGTTTCACTACAGAACACACACAGCTTGCCGGGAGCGGAGTCTGCTGTGGGATCTGGAGGTGGGTGGGCAGCTGGGAATGTGGCAGTTTTGCACACCTACTGCTGCCTTAGTCAGAGCTCTTAGTCACTGTGCGTGCCCGGACTATCTCCTGAGGAGATAACCAGACCCACGTCTCGCTCGGCAGGTTCAGCGTCTCCAATGATCTCAAGTACGATGCCGAGAGAGACCTGAAGGACATTGAAGCCTCCCACATTCCTGTGCATGCTTTGAATAAGGTAGGCAGAGAAGCGGTAACGGGGTGCTGGAAAAGCAGCCCACGGCACCGAGAGACGGATCTGCCCGAGCACGCGGAGCAGCCGTCGCTTCTGCCTTCCTGCCTCCGCGCAGCTGGTGGCACCGGTGGCAGCAGACAGCAGGCTGCGTGCTGTTCCCTCTCATGGCTGCTCTTCCCGCTCTGGACTCTCGCTATTTTTACACGCTCC